AAAAAAATGTACATCTTTTAATTTGAAAAATATTTTACATTAGTACAAGTAAATATGTTATTAATATTTATCGAGAATGAATATTTAGCATTTTTTTAAATATTTTCTTTTCTTTCAATATATTCTAGTCTACTCTTAAGATTCACGCGTGATTCATGAAGATCGAATGACACATTACGAAGCAGTCATATATATATATAAAATTTAGGCAAATTAATTGTATAAATTTAAGCAAATTAATTGTATAATTAAATATGTAACTTCTATTAATTATAAATATCACAATCGAGTGTTGCGTTTGATAAAAACCGTATCAAAATTTAATTGAGGCAGTAATTCGTTTGTTTTCCCATTCTTTTTTCTGCACCATACTATCCCCTTGCAAATCTCACGGTGGGTATGCGCCGTGAAATCAGTATACCTATGCTATTTAGATATCGGGGGTTTCGGTCGCGGCACTTCTCCCGACTTCCGGAGGGTCGCGGCACGACGCAGCCACACAGCCCGGTTCTGACCCGAATCGTCGATTGTTGTTCGGCCGCGGGCAATAAATTCGCGAGTGTAGAGGCGAAAACGGGGTCTGCTGTCTCCTCGACCCAGTTCGCGGCCGCCGATTACACGCACGGGGTTATAAGCGTTTCTCGCGCCCGGAGGAGGCGCGTTTTTCCCTACGTATTCTCTCGCGCGACGATGAAGCGACGGCGAGTCGGCCGGCGACTCATGAATTGGCAACGTTATCTTTTTCGATGTCGCTGTTGTTCAACGGCTTCGTCGGATGGGGAAAAGTGGGCCACACACGATCGAGCACGCGCAAACGAACCTGCCCGTTTATGCGACGAAAGCAGTTCTGTCGCCGGAGCGACGCACACCATTCGAGAATCGTGGCTGTATGGCTTATAATTATCGTTGCATAAGAGAAAATAATCAAAGAAAATCGCCGTTACTTCTCACAATTCTCTCGAGCACAAAAGCCTTATAGATCGTATAAGACAGCATATCTTGAAAACAATGAATTTTGCAGTTTACTCGCGCGTTATCTCTGATGCGTGGAATCGTTGTAGATGAAAAAATTTATTTTCATCAGCACATGCAATAATGATTTAGCAAGGCACGCGAAAATAAGGCATTGACTATTCAAAAATTGAGTGTAGAATTATCCAAGGTAATACACAGGACTCCAATAATGCCTCCCACTTCCGTTTAGAATCTCTTGGCTCGGGGGGCGTATTATATCTACATATTTTTCTATCATAACCATTGATTTGGAGAAGAATCAGCGCGACTCGGGCACTTTAAATGCAACGGTAACATACATAGTAAATACATATAAGCACTATTATTGTTGCATTTAATGTGACTGACTTGCCGATTTGTCTCAAAATCCACAGTCATGATACTAGAATATGTAGATATGCATCCGTGCCAAAACATTCTAGCCAGAAATGGAAAGCACTATCGAAATCCTGTGCAATATACGTGATAAGGTAAAAGTATTAATGTCTGTTTAGTCAACATCAAGCATTAGTTACGTTATATCTATGTTGTAATTTCGCACTCGACAATGTAAATGCCATATAACATCATGTTATGTTGTATTTATGTTGTCGAGTGCGAAATTATAACATAGATGTGATGTAACTGATGCTCGGTGTTAATTAGATGGACACTAATAATACTAGTATCTAACTCTGGAAATTCCTATTATATATTTTGGTTTCTATAAATACGAATATTTAAACTTTCAACGTGCGTGTATAGATTATATGTATACATACAATATTTTCTCTACATTTTTTAAAGGTTTAAATGTCCGTATTTAAAGACCAAAACAATTAGAAGGTCGAAAGTTAGAGTGTTATCAGTGTTTAGACTTTCACACACAAATTGACATAACAGTAACGTAAGACGTACCGTAAGAATTGACCAATCATGTTGAGAATCGTCGAATCGTAAGGTCATCATTTTTATGAATACTCGATCGTAATTGGTCAATTCTTATGGTATGTCTTACGTTAGTGTTATGTCAATTTGTGTGTGAAGGCCTTTAGTACTTTTACGTTCCACGCTTGAGATCGACACGCGTTTCTCTCGATAATCCGTTCATCTTGCTTTCGTCGACGTTAAAGTTTATTACGCATACTTCAGCCCGGTCCACGCGGCCTTTCAACGATCCGAATAATTGAAGCCTTTCTTCGCCTCGCTTGTTGCGCGTAAGACTTTGATGCGATTGTTGTTAAGTGCTACGGATTACTTACACGCGCTCGTAGATATCGCTACCAGATGCTCCAGCTGCGTGCCATTCGGTGCCTGGTCTGCTGGAAAGGAAAAGGAACGACGAAATTAACGACACTGTTAATTAATTGCTCGCCGAGAAATATACATCACGTCAAGCGCGCCGAAAGCCAAGCCATTCCGGCGTTCACGCATTCGCGTCACGCGAACGATAGTCTCCCCTCGAAATATTTCCCTCATAAAGAAACCCGAATGTACATGCTGGTTATACCGGTCTCGCGTCCCTCGGCGAAAACCCGAACTAAGGGCTCGACACGTGCCGCGCCTGGGAAGATTTCGGCAGAATATTATCCGCGAACATTCGCGCCCGCCATATCAGCTTGTATCGGTATTCATTCCACATCTATTTATACAAGCAAGCCACCTCCACCTCGGCTTTTCCACCCTTCCTGCTCGCGTATTTACCCTTTAATTATTTACACATTCTCTATGCGGATCCTCTCGTGTTAGTCGGAAGGGAATGTTTTTCCATTACAAGAAGCATGAGAGATGAGAATGTTCTCGAGATGAAATGTAACTTATGCATATTTATGCAATTAAATTATCCCTCGCGATGAGATCCAGTAATTTCATCTCGCGCTAATAACGCTCGCAGTTTTTTCTCTCATCTGTATGTATCGACGAGATACCGACAAGAAAGTCAGCGGAGCATGTCTGGGCGCGCTCGCGCGGAGTGGAATTTGCGGTAACTTTCGGCTGTCCCTGACAGCTCTCGAGGAAAGCACGAGCAATACAATTTTACTTCGAGATGCTTCCTCGTAAATCAGACTCAAATGAAAACATCGACGTCCCGCCGTCGTAACTTTTAATTTGATAAGTCATTCCCCGCGTATCTGTTCGATAAATCTCTTTGGTGAAATTTCAAATTAGTGCATTTCATAAATATCAATATGTCGCTTTTAATTGCGTCGTAACTGCTGATATGCGGACTGACGTTTATCCGAAAAGTTTCTCTCTTCCTGTTGTCGCGATTGACACGATGTTTGCATGTTTACACGCGTCTCTTTACTCTTCTCACTGCAAAAAATATAATCTTATCCTTAGCGAAATCCTCCCGTATATGGCCTCAAAATTATTCTCCTAGGACCAAAAGGAAAATGTTCCAACATCCAGAAAACAGAACTCTAACTGCAAGGTACTATTTCTTATAATCTCATATTCTAAGTGATAATTCTTACCAAAAGAGTATTTGCTTTCTAACAAAGAGGAATGATATTGTGCTTAGAATATTCCCCTGATGGGGTCTTAGGAGAATTCTCTTGAGGCCAGAGTATAAGAGAATTCCACTAGGAATGAGATTATATTTTCTGGGGTGTTGCTCATATAGTAGAAGTGCAACTAAGATCTCCAAGGAGATATAAGGAGATATATAAGGAGATGCTATAATCATGCACCCGAGCGCAACTTGACGCACTTTATGCTCTCGCTCGGATCGAAAGTTGGAAAAGTTGGAATTAGATTATTCTGGCAACGGCAGTGCCAATATTTATTTTGTCACAGGTAGGACTTTCGAGATAGGCAGAGGCGAATTAGAGGATATTGGACGAATGTGGTTAGTTCTCCCCCACTCCCTTCCCCGCTCGGCAACGCACATATAATATGGTAAATATTTATTCTGTTAGGCGCGTCCAATTTTGACAACGAGAACGCCTTTATCGCGCCAAGGGCATTATTGTGATTGTTTCTGGGGAACATGTATGTGCACACGCGTTCTTTGCACATTAAACACGTTTGCTATTAACGTCACATATGCATGCTATTAACGTCACAAAATGCTTTTTTCTATATCCATATTGTCAAATCAAGTCTCTTTTATATAATTATGTGAAAGCAGAAAGAAAAGCTATGCCATATTTGACTATTTTTCTGGTTAACATAACTATTCTTTTTTTTGTAATAACATTTGGGCTGTTTATTCACTGTAAAAACAAAGATGTTAAATTTAACACATTTCATGTGTCCCAAATTATCCACTCTTATTTATGTGCACTGAGAAAAAAATTTACTAAATTTCAAAAAACGTTTGTTTGGATAGTACTGTGAAGATATTTGTTTAAATTAAATAATTATTTTCTAAAATTAAATAAAAAAGTTTTAAATATAAATTTGTTTCTTTAATTTTAGAAAATAATTATTATAGTATGCAAACGTTTTTTGAAATTTAGTAAATTTTTTCTCAGTGTGTAAATTTAACACAAAACAAATGTGTTAAAAAGTAACACACATAATATGGAAAAAATTTACACAAGAATTTAACACTTGAATACCGTTAGGAATCACAGGTTGTGCTAAATTGACATATTTAATGTCAAACAGATTATGTCAATTTAACATTTTCATTCCATCAAAATCGTAGATTAATACTTCTCTCAAATGTTAAAGTAACGTTTTATTTTAGTTAATTTAACATTATACATATGTCAATTTAATACAAACTGTGATTCCTGACGGTATTCAAGTGTTAAATTCTTGTGTTAATTTTTTACATATTATGCTTGTTACTTTTTACCACATTTGTTTTGTGTTAAATTTACACATAAATGAGAATGGATGATTTGGGACACATGAAATGTTAAATTTAACATATTAGTTTTTACAGTGTACTAATATATTTTCCAAATAAGAAAACAATTTCACAAACCTTACCGAAACCTTAGCTTTTCATGAGAGCAACTGTTTATTCAAATAAAGGAATTTAGGTCTAAATGAATGTGTTATTATTGTACCAAATAGATATTTTATATTTTTCAGATATCCTTTCAGTGTATAAGCAGAAAAGGATAAGTCGGGAATGCACTGGAAGTGAAGCTTTCAAACGTCTGATTCTCTCAGACCAGTGCATCCCTTCATACTCGCGAAATCTCACGTTTGATCCCGCGGCGGATCCGTGCATCGACGTTGATGAACGTCCGCCACGTGTGAGCACGGCACAAACGACGGACAAACAACGTCGTCCTGTAATTTCGACAATCAAAGGGAGTCGACCGGCGAATGATGTCCAGGGCAACTGCATCTTGTAAATGAAGCGCCTTGTAATCTCGTCCGTATCAAGGCTACGCCGTGGATTCACATGTCGCGCGCGGAGATGCAGATATTACAATTGTTATTTTTAGAAAATATGTTGCTTCATGTCTCTGCTGCGAGTCGGAGACGCGGGCAAATTGTTCGAACGTGCGTGCGTCACGACACAATAATTTTTCGCAGAATATATTTCTATATTTTTTCTTAGGAAATAGTGAAGTTAAAAAAAATCTGTCTTCAAATGTATTAACTATCACGTAATTCGAAATTGCAGCGTACAAATGCGAATCTAGGTAGGATCCAGGCGGACTTGTCGACTACTGAAGTTGGTAAAACCGATTTTTTCTATTTTCTAACAAGTTGCAGAACTAAGCAAGCAAGATTTGTAAACATATCAAAAATGTTCGTTAAGGCTTTGAAATTCCTGCTTGCTTAATTCTGAAATCTGTTAAAAAACAGTAGAAATAATCGATTTTGCCACTTTGCCTCGGTAGCCAACTAGCCCCGACCTCCCCTAAATTTAACCATCTTTAAATATGTTACCTACAGCTTGAAAGAAAAAAAGATTATAAACCCGTGATTTCATTTGTGCTGTTAGCGCACAATATAGTCTAAAAAAATATGCATAAATATAAATACTTAACGTGGGGAAAGAACACAAAGGAGTTATTACTGAAATAGCTTCTTAACGCGCACGTATTTTTGTTGGCCGACAAATTCTCGCCTTTCCCGCTCAAAGCGTATTATTAGCGTTGCAGCATAGCCCGGGAACTATGCATTATCCAAGCGGACGGATACAAACGACCATAACCGTGTCTTGCAGATGCAAGAGTAAGGGAGCGAGAGAGAAAGGGGGAGGGGGACGGAACCATATCTACGATTAAAAACATTTAATAACAAAAAGCATTTACGTGCCATTTCGCGGAATAACATCGCCCGAAGGCGATGAGAACAAAGTGTTAGAACCCGAGTAAGTGCCTGCGGTAAGCGAGAGTACGCGTGCGTTGCATAATACATTTCCATCGAAGATAGCTTAAGGTGGGGTCCACAGGGTTTCATCGACCGATCTGGCGCAGGGTGGAGCTTAAGCCAGACGACAGTGCGTCACCGCCTTTTCGTGAGGGCCTTCTTCCTGTTCTTCTCATCCTCACCTGCAATTCCGTCGCTAAAATTCGACTCGTCTGCGCGCCCGTCCGACGACGATTCCTCGACGGGATTCGTTTCTCGAGAAAAATTCCCGATGCGTCCTTTTCATTTGCCAACTAGTTAGGCTGAAGTTGTTCTTGTTAAATTCAAATCATCTCTCATTCCTTTTCTCTCTCTCTCTTTCTTGAACAGGAGAGTCTTGTCATCTTGTATGAAAGTTATGAACTTTTAATCGCTCGTAAACAGAGAATTGCGCCTCGTTGAACGTCGACCGACGCGTTTGTCCCGTTTTTAGAGAAAGCTGGGAAGGGCATTTAAATTTGAAGTGGAAGCGCGCGCGGGGAAGACTATCTCTAAGCAATGCACACTGAGACACCCTACACACCGGCCAGCGTAGCTAGCTTCTCCAAGGCCTCCGTCGATCGGAATCAGCGATACCAGAGCACTCTGCGCCCGATAAATCGCCGACACTGTATCGACTGTCGGAAGCCCGGAGCGAACCCCGACCTTCGCTGCACCTCCGTGCGTTATAACGTTATTATCTCGTCCACTTGATGTCTTACGATATCTTCGTTAATAGTTCTGCATATATACCGCCACTGGTCTCGAGTTGATAAACCCAAGGTACAATCCGTGTGAAACATAATCGCTGTAATCTATCGTAATATATCTATCGTAATAAGTCTACACGCACGGAAAGAATTTCATCATAAAAATTACTGCAGAATTTTGTAACCAGACGATACATCGACACTTTACGATAATTTACTATCCTTTCGTTTCGCTTGCTATTTATATTTCAAGAACTGTATTATTTTTATTTATATTTTAGGAAATGTGTTATTAAAAAATTTGGGATAGAAAATAACTCCGTAATAGGGAACGAATGATTTTTTTGTTACTTTCGACTTGTTGCTCTGAGCAATACTTCTGTTTAATGCAGACAATAACTAAGCCTAGCTTAAATAGACGAGAGCAAATAGTGATTGGTATTTCAGGCAAGATATGTTCGTTAAAACGACAAATGATGAACGAATTGCAACGGTGACTGTTCGATCTGTTCCCTTAACAATCGATTGTCAAGCAACGAGCGTGCTTTCGTTCTGATAATTATGGGATTTTCCTCAGTGTGGTGATCGGCGGTTTGAATCTCCCGTTCGAAAATTTGCTACGAGACGACCATGAAGCCTGATCTACAATATACTCTTTGCGTTCTGTTTCTTGTCTTCTATCTTTTTCTGGCTTAAAGCTTAATGTTTGAGTCAGAAAGAGATAAAGAGAAAGAAGCAGGAAGCAAAGAGCATATTGTAGATCAGGTTTAAGTCGTGATTGCGTAAGACGCCAATGAAAACGAAGCGGCGACGCGAAGCAGGCACATAAGCGCGGAGCCGCTGGTCTTTAACGATTATTTTATTATTGGCCCAATTACTGCACTGTTGTTTTCACTGCACGCGCGACCAGCCGGCTGAAGCTCAGTCTCTCTCTCTCTCTCTCTCTCTCTCTCTCTCTCTCTCTCTCTCTCTC